TGGAAAACACCAAGAGTATGTTGCCCAACGTTATCATATAATGACAAACACCACCGCTTCTTTGCACGAGGAGAGTAATATTCAGCCACAAATTTTCTCCAATAGGCAATACTATTATCCTGGGACAAGTGGGAAAAATTAAAAATTCTAATTAATCTATACCTTGCAACCAAATACCTAAATCATCAAGCACATGCGTTCAGATACACGACCACGACGACGACGACAACAATAACAGAGCCTTTTTCCACTAGATGGCATGCAGTCAGATAACTAAATTAAAATGAACACCTGAACGAGAAGTAAACTTTAAAAAATAGTAGAAAAATAAAAGCAGTATACCAGATCTCAAATAGACCTCAGCCAACTAAACCATTGCTCAAAGAAGAACTAATAACGCAAATGACATCTTGCCACATGCAAGAAACATACAGAAGAACTCACATTTGGTCGCTGCCTTTGATGATATAGGTATTGCATCAAACGACGGGCACACACACCACTGTCATATGGGCGCTTCATGGAAGACGAAGGCTGCATTGCTTGTTGTTGTAATTGCTGCCCTTAATTGCATATGTTGCTGCTGCTGTTGCAAGTGAGCTCTCTGTAACTGTGGCATTGACTGGAGGATTTGTTGCTGCTGCTGCTGCTGTTGCCTCAGTCTCTGCTGCTGGAGGAAAGCCTGCAGTTGGGGATTACGACTCTGGAACTGCATGGGGTCCTGCCTCTGAAGAAGCTGTTGTATTACCTGCTGATGCATTATATCTTCTTGCTTAATATCCAACCGAGGTTTCTTCTGCATCTGGGATATTATTTGGATCTTGTATCAGAGATCCAGCTACTCTCGGGTACCCATTGGCAGTGGAGCTGGGCCAGATTGAGTTGCAGGCAAAGATGTTGCACTAGAAGCACCTTGCATTTGCTGATGATTCTTTTGCAGCTGTTGAACATTCTGGTCTTGATGAGAGCTCTGCTGTACTACACAAGAACCATCCATAACTGATGACCCCGAAATACTGATATTATTTGATGAGAATGAGATGGGTGATGCAGGTAAACGTAAGTATGAGTCTGTGTTATTGCTAGCGCTTCTCTGCAAACGGGGTCCCCCAGATAGGGCAGAGTTTGCATCTGTGACTAATGAGCTGGCTCCAACACTTGGCCCTGAGTTTGCCACACTGTTTAGAATTGCATTACTCATGTCACCAGAAACTGGACCCAGATTTGAACGTCCAGTTCCAGGAAATGAGTTGGATGTGTTACCAAAACACGAACTTAAGTGAGAGTCAACAGCATTCTGTGATTGCCCGTCTCCTTGATAGAATATTCCAGAACTTGATGATGAATGGGCTAACCCTCCAGCCACCCGAGAAGGTGCCATGGGGGGCACCGCCCCTCGGTGACAGGAGTCTAAGTAGCTCTCTAGAGCCAGGCCTGACTGGTATATAGGCTAACTAGAATGTTACGTCAACACCGTGACAGAGACATAAAGCCATATAATCTTTCTTCAAAAGTTCACAAGTTCTAGGTGAAAGACTTGTCGGGTAAACAAGTTTCCCTGATTTTATTTCTTCTTTTCCTTAAGTTTCCAACTTCAGCCAATCAATAACAAGTTGTCAAATCTATTAACTTCTGTGCAGCCAAATGTGCCCAATAATTTTATGAACTTCTCGACTCCGGAAACGCTCTGAAATGGATCTGATATACATATGGCGATACATGTTTGTTAGCATCAGGAATAAACAAGCTTCAAGCAATAGATAAAGGCAAGCCCGGGTATAAAAGCATACATTACAATCCAACCCAGGAACTAAATCACAATAAATTTCCCACTTAAACGTAGGGAAATCGTGGTTTTTAACCCCGCCCACAAAACCCTAATTGATCTTAATTTAGAAAACAATTAGCATAAGAATTAGTACAGAGCGGAAAGTACGAAGTCCTCAATACATTCAAACGTCCGAACAGCGATTATGTCGGCATATTGTATAAATGAAACGATGAATCAATCCATTACCAAATTAAACCGCAACATTCAGCCCACAAGTTCAGAGGATAAAAAGTTAGTGGTAGAACCAAAGAGCTTGAATCGAACGTGCAAAGTGCGAATTTCCGGTCCACACGCCGCAAAAATGCAAACTTCAAGTCAAACGAACATCACAGAACTGGTAAAAGAAAAGGATCGAGAGCAAATAAACAAAAAAAGTCCAACTCTAAAGGGGGAAGATGAAAAGATGCGGCTTTCCAACTTGTGAGATCGATCACTAGCTAACTGAAATTGAACCCAATGAAGAACATGGCATTTGGCGTAAAAATGATTTGAATGCGAGGGAATCAAAGGGAACGAGCCACTCACATCGGCAATACGAGCTGGAGAAAAAGCTAAACCTTGCCTTGATTATTATCAACCTAAAATGCGTGAGAAAATTATTAATTAGCAAATGAAAAGAAAAAAGAGAGAAAGAGAGTAACCGACTGTTAGGGTCTCTTTCCTATATTACCGGCGCTGTCCGGTAAACAGCAGGACACGTGTCGAAAAAGTCCAGAAGAACTAAGTCGGCGTTAGATCATGCGGCCACGAGGAGATGATCAACCACGTGGCACCACTTAATTGGCTACAGCTCGGGGGGCATCAAGGATATGGAAAGGAGTACCGGGGTAAATCTGTCTGAGCAATGATCGGGTACGGCGGCACTAGATCTGGTATTAAGATACGATTGGAAGACACGCCGGATTTGAATGGGATGGATAATGTGGACTGCGGAGGTTGGTGGGGCAGGAGTATGATTGAAGTTCTGTTTGATCTGATTGGCTGAGAGATCAGAGAGAAGGGTATATATGTTGTAACGTGTGGCCGCACGTGCTTTGGGGGTGTCTGGCATCATGAAAAGTGCTTCTTAGAAACACTTTTTTACAAATCGAGATAAACTCCTTCACATATTTATCTCGTAGATCGTAAAATCATTTTTGAAACCATAGTTTGGTTTTCATCCAAACACCCCTTAATAAAACCTTGACCCCTCTTCTCCCTCGTCGCTACCCATATCAACTCTTGCTCGTATTTTGGACATTTAGACTAGGCTGTACTTTTAATTTTTTTAATTTTATGCCAGATTTTAATTTGATCTTTTCATTTTGAAAATATAGTTCTCATCATTTAATTCTAAAATTATTAATAAAAATAATAATATTGAGATCTTGAATGTCAATAAAACACCAATATATCAAATTTAATTTTTAAAATAACCATAATTATTACAAAAAATCATTATTTAAGATTAAAATTTTAAAATTTAAGAAATAAAAATATATTTTTTAAAGTTAAGAAAATAAATCTAAATCTTATATAAAATTAAAGGACTAAGAATATATGTTAGCATTTAGAATTTATTGTTTCGTTTCATCTAAACCTATTTTTATAAAATTGTTATTAAAATATGAAATTGTTAAAAAATGAATAAATAAATTCAAATTATGAATAATTTTTTAATGGTTTAAAATTATGATTTTAAAAAATTTTATTTCATAAAATATTAAATTCAAACCATTCAAATTTAATTTAATCATATATATAGAAAGTGAGAAGAAAGTGGAGGGGAAAAAATTAAGAGAAATTAAGTTTATTTTAGTACAGGCATTCTATTTTTTAAACAAAAAATGATGGGGTTAATGGACAGAGAATGACAATTTGATTACGTGTCTAGATTAATTTAAAACAAAGCACTTTTATTTGTTATACGAAAAGATATATGAAAAGAGTTTTATTTTATAAAATGTAAAAATGAGTATCTTAAGAGTCCCAAGCAACCTTATCACATCAAAAGGCAAAACCCTCAACATTTTTTTCCCTATTGTGCTTCTTTCTCCCTTTGCAAAAAACACACTTTCTTCGGACAACAAAACCACTCATCTTCACAATTTTTTGAGTCAAAGATTTGTCTTCTCACCATGAAATTTGTTAAATTCTTCAATCTCTCATTCTTTGAAACTCCATGAGTTCACCGAAACCCTAGTGTCCATAACCCCGTTATTTCATACGTGTCGTTCAACTTCCCCTTCTCAATCCCAAGCATCTTTCAAGATCTTGTGATCTTCTTCAGTAATCTCAGAATCTGATACGAGTCAGTTGTACAAGTCAGTTTGTTAATTAGCACTTGTCATTCTGTTACAACTTGTATAACTGATTAGTTGTTAAATACCCCATAATTGTATGTTGGAGGGGATATTGGAAATAATACACTTCTACGTAATTCTCTCTCTCTCCTCTGTTGTGCAACAACTTGGCATCAGAGCCGACCTTCCGGCTACGCCATCATGCCGGAAACAAGATCCGGTGAGCGGATCGGTGACATTGAGCATCACTTGGACTTACATGCTAACGCAATGGAGACTGCTCGTGCGCGATTGGAACAGAATTCTTTAGACATTGGCGAACTGAAAACTTCAATTTCTCGTATCGAGAACTATATGGGGGATTTGATGCTGAAACTTACGTCCATAGCTCAGTCCTCATCACACGACAACATTGGTGTTTCTTCTTCTACTCCTAATCGCCAGCCAGTTCCTCAGTTTGGCACTTATGGATCTTCCTGATCGCACTACACTCCTCCGACAAAACAGAGTCGCGTGGAGTTTTCGAGATTTGACGGCACAGACTTCAAAGGATGGGCTTACCGATGCCAACAATTCTTTGCCGTCGATGGTACTCTAACTGATCAGCGGATACGACTTCTTAGTATTCATCTTGAAAAGAAGGCCCTCAAGTGGCATCTTAATTTCATGGCAAAGAGACAAGACTCGGAAGTATCTTGGGATGACTACTTCAAACAAATGGAAGCCCGTTTTGCCGAAGTACGTCGCATATCTCCGATGGTGGAACTTCGTAATCTCCATATGACGACGTCGGTTGATGATTACATTGACGTGTTTGATGAATTATTGACAGAGGTCGATATTCCCGAGAACGTTGCTATGGATATTTTCTTGGGAGGGCTACGTTTTGACATTCAATCGGCAGTGGATACTTTTAAGCCGTCTTCGCTCGCGAGTATGATGCAGATGGCGCGACTTCAAGAACGAACGCTTGCAGCTATATTTGTGCATGCTCCTACATCTATTCCAGGCCATCGTTTTAGTCAGCATATCAGACCTTCAGTGGAGAGTTCTACCAAACCCTCCATGACCTCCTCTATTTCGAAAGGTTCTGTGAATAACAGGGAAGGATCATCTCCTACTCTAACTACTTCAAAAAGGCCTGCTCTGACCTTGTCTAAAAAAGAAATGGAAGAACGGAGGAGGAAGGGGTTGTGTTATTGGTGCAATGATAAATACACAAGCTCCCATAATTGCCGTACTTCTCATGTTATGATGCTTGTTATTCAGAACGACAGCGATGAGGATTTCCTAGATGCGGCTGAACAGTTTGATCTGGGCAGTGATCCAGCTAAGGTTGATGCAACCATTAATGCAGCAGAAGGTCGGGAGGGCTGTTCCACTTTGAAGGTTGAAGGGTACATAAAGAAACAGAGAGTCCTCGTTTTAATTGATACAGGCAGTACGCATAATGTACTTGATGCTACAGTAGCTAAACGTTTGTGTTTACCTGTCCAAGAACAAGAGGGTCTACGTGTCGCTGTGGCTGGAGGACGACGCATAGTCATCAATAAATTTTGTCATAACTTGACTTGGACTATGGCTGACCATAATTTCTCTGATTCATTTTTGGTGATGGACCTAGCAGGATTTGATGTTATTTTAGGAGCCCAATGGCTTAAACGGTTGGGCCGAATTGTTTTGGATATGAATGACCACTTTATGGCTTTTTGCTTTGATCACAAATACTTTGAGCTGACAGGTGTAACGAGAAGAGACTTTCCACCCAATGAAGATACCTTGTATCCATGTGATCTATCGGTGGCACAACACGTGTTTCTAATCCAAGTGCTGGACCATGGTGATGGGTCTCTTATGTCTCTATCTGCCACCTCCACATTAGCTGGCCCTCAACAGCGACAGCTTAATGATCTTCTTCTCTCCTTCAAAGATGTTTTTGCTGAGCCACAGTCGCTGCCCCCATTTCAAGATTTTGATCATCAGATTCACTTAAAATCAGATCAACCCATCAGTTGCAAGCCGTATCGTTATGGACCAGTACAGAAGACCGAAATTGAAAAACAGGTGCAACAAATGCTTCAAAATGGCATTGTGCAAGAGAGCCATAGTCCCTTTGCCACTCCAGTCGTATTGGTTCAAAAGAAAGACAACACCTGGCGTTTTTGTGTGACTACCACAAGCTGAATGAGAATACTGTCAAAAACAAATTTCCCATTCCCTTGATCGATGAGCTTCTCAACGAGTTACATGGTGCCCATTATTTCTCCAAACTGGACTTGCGTGCGGGCTATCACCAAATACGAATGAATCCTAAGGACGTCCATAAGACAACGTTTCGTACTCATGAAGGACTGTATGAATTTTTGGTGATGCCCTTCGGATTGACGAATGCGCCGGCCACATTTCAAGGTTTGATGAACTCTGTTTTTAAAGCTTTCCTACGCAAGTTCATCCTTGTTTTTTTTGATGACATTTTGGTGTACAGCAAGACTTGGGATTTGCATCTAGATCATCTTACTCATACCTTGATGCTCCTACGGAAGCATACTTTATTTGCCAAAGCTTCCAAGTGCACTTTTGCAGCATCACAAGTTGAATACTTAGGCCATTTGATTTCGAGAAAAGGGGTTGAAGTCGATCCTCGAAAGATTGAAGCTGTGAGCTCTTGGCCGGTACCTAATTCCATTAAAGCTGTTCGTGGATTTTTGGGACTTACGAGCTATTATCGGAAATTTGTTCGTCATTATGGCTCTATTTCTCGACCACTTTCTGACTTGCTTAAAAAAGGAGAGCGATTTCTTTGGTCAAAAGAAGCTGCAGATGCTTTTAATACTTTGAAGAAGGCCATGACTTCTACCCCTGTGCTTGCATTGCCCAATTTTACAGAACGCTTTGTGATTGAAAATGATGCTTCTACAACTGGCCTAGGAGCTGTTCTTACACAGCTAGGCCATCCTATTGCTTTTGTTAGCAAGCCTCTTAGTCCCAAGAAACAATCATTGTCTGCCTATGAGCTAGAACTTATGGCCATTGTATTTGCTGTACAGCAGTGGCGGTCTTATTTGGTTGGCTCTGTTTTTACCATCAGGACAGATCATCTGCCTTTGAAACATCTGTTGGAACAGAAGACGGTGTCTCCAGACCAGTTCAAATGGCTTAATAAGCTTTGGGGATTAACCTATGAGATTGTGTATACTAAAGGGAAGAACAATAAGGCTGTCGATGCTCTC